TTCAATTGAAAATTATTAAAATGTGTCAAATGATTTCATCAAATTTAATTGTCTGATATCAAAATCTGCTATATTTCCATTTTGATTTCAACATTTTCAGTAGTAAAATAAATCTTTTTTTATTTCTCTAACACTTTTGCCCTGGCCCCTCATCCTCTGGCATCTTACTCTTGGGGTTGAGATGTCTACTTGGTCCTAACCGAACTTAATGGAGTGGCCATAGGTCCCCTGAGCATCTGTAGATTATTCGACCAGTCTGCTGGTTTAATCCTGCTTCTTGCCCACGTTGTGATTTGTTTGATCCTGAAAGCAGAAGTGATGTCCGTCCATTCATGGTTGACTGAAAATGTAGACATGGCTGGGGAGTATGCACTAAGAAATTTAGAATGCAGCAAAAAAAAAAAAAAAATTAATATCTGCAGAAAGCCAGACAAACATCGATTCAATGGTTGAATTGGTAATGTCTTTTATATAGCAGAAAAGCATAGTAGAGAAGAGAAACGGGTTACAGAAAAGAAAAGTAAAAAACTCATACACTGGATTCTAGACAGAGAGAGTGTATGTGATTATCTTGTTGTTAAATCATCTCAGAACAATATATGACTCTTGCGATGGAGGGATAAAGATTTCTGTGCGTGGGCTTAAAGTTATAGTGGCGTTCCTCCTCCCAACATTCGCCCGGGCCAATTCTCCCTTCAAGAATTTTCTTTGGTCTCTCTTTTTCAGCATAACTATGCGTTTATATAGATAAACCCAGATGGTTATAACTGACACTCGGCCTTACTACTTTGCATGCAATTATCTTTATATATAGTTATATTTCCATTTGAATTCAAAATTTACAATTGAAAAATATCAAACTCTGCTCTATTTCCATTTCATATCATCATTTTCAATTGGAAAATAACAGAATAAGCTATAAATCTTTTTTATTTCAATATTTTCAATTGAAAATTAATAAAATCAGCTATAATTCCATTTGATCTCAAAATTTTTAATTGGGCAATGCCAAAATCCAATCTATTTCTTTTTGATTTCAATATTTTCAATTGAGAATTAACAAAATCTGCCATATTTCCATATGATTTTGTCATTTTTCATTATCTGATATCAAAAGCATCTATATTTCCATTTGATTTCCAAATTTTCAATTGGAGAATATCAAAACCAATTCTATATCTTTTTGTTTTTAATAATTAGAAATTAATAAAATCAGCTACAATTTCATTTGATTTCACTATTTTCAATTTTCTGATAACAAAATTTTATTTGGAGAATCTCAAAATCATCTCTATATCTTTTTGATTTCAATATTGTCCATTAAAAATTAATAAAATCAGCTGTATTTCCATTTGATTGCATAATGTTCAATTGTGAGATATCAAAATCAGCTATTTTTTATTTGATTTCAACATTTTCAATTGTAAAATATCAAAATCCTTTCTATTTCTATTTGATTGCAAAATTTTCAATTGAAAATTATTAAAATCCTTTATAATTCCATTTGATTTCAACATTTTCAATTGGGCAATACCAAAATCTGCACTATTTCCATTTGATTTCAAATTTTTCAATAGCAAAATGTCAAAATCAGCTCCATATCCTTTTTGATTTTAATATTTTCAATTGAAAATTATAATTCCTATATATTTCCAGTTGATTTAATTTTCTAAATTTTAAATTGGAATATATCAAAATCAGCTGTATTTTTTATATCAATATTTTCAATTGACAATTAATAAAATCAGCTCTATTTCCATTTTATTTCAGCATTTTCTCCTATCAAATTTCAAAATGAGTAATATTTCCATATGATTTCAACATTTTCATTTGGAAAATTATCAAAACCATCCTCATTTTATTTTGATTTATATATTTTCAATTGAAAATAAATAAAGCCATCTATATTTCCATTTGAATTCATCATTTTCAATTGTCTGATATCAAAATCGGCTATATTTCCATTTGTTTTAAAAATTTTCAATTGGAAAATATCAAAATGAGATATATTTCTTTTTGGTTTAAGTATTTTCAATTAAAAATTAATAAAAATGCTATATTTCTATTTGATTTCATCATTTCCAAATGTCTGATATCAAAATAATCTATATTTCCATTTGATTTCAAAATTGTCAATTGAAAAATAACAAAATCGGATGTACATTTTTTGATTTCAATATTGTTAATTGAAAAGTATTTTTTTATTTCGATTTCCATAATCATTTCATAATCCATATATTAAAATCAGTTATATTTCCCTTTCATTTCAACATTTTCAATTGGAAAATATCAAAATCATCTTTATTTCTTTTTGATTTCAATATTTTCAATTGAAAATTAATAAAATCTGCTATATTTCCATTTTCTTTCATCATTTTCAATTGGAAAATATGAAAATCAGCTCAATAACTATTTCATTTTAATATTTTCAATTGAAAATTAATAAAATCTACTATATTTCCCTTTGATTTCTTCATTTTCAATGGTCTAATACCAAAATCAGATATATTTCTGTTTGATTTAAAAATTTGAAATTGAATATTAATATAATCAACTATATTTCCATTTGATTCCAACGTTTACAATAGGGAAATATCAAAATCAGCTTTATATCTTTTTGATTTCAATATTTTCAAAAGATAATTATTAAAATCAGCTATATTTTTATTTTCTTTCATCATTGTGATTTGTCTCATATCAAAATAAGCTATATTTCCATTTGATTTCGTACATTTTCCTTTGTAAAATATCAAAATCAGCATTATTTATATTTGATTTCAATATTTTCAATTGAAAATTAATAAAATAATCTATATTTCCATTTGATTTAATCATTTACAGTTATTTGATATCAAAATCATATATATTTCAATTTGAATTCAAAAATTTTCAATAGGAAAATATAAAAATTAGCTCTATTTGTGCTTGTTTTCAGTATTTTCAATTGGAAATTAGTAAAATCTACTATCTATATTTCTCATGTTGTCTGTGTGTGTGTCTGTCGTGGGCGTTGTTACCTCGCCCAATCCGCATTTCTCACCCGATTTCGATGCGGTTTTCACCACAAGTTTGCAAATGGCTGCCGTAAGGACATGACGGAGCCAGATTTTTGAGTTCAGACTCAGGTTCCGGAAAAATCGATAATCAAAAAAAATCTGCTTACAGAAGGAATGATCGCATTTCAACCAAATTTGACACCCTCTTAGAGTCTACCATTAGAAGTGTTGTCCAGAAGTTTCATGACCACGGTTTTTGAGTTTTATCGATTTTCCGCGCTGTAAACAGCGCGGAAAATCGATAAAACTCAAAAACCGATACGCCCAGATTACGCCTGAACCGCATGTCGGTTTTTAGCGAAAACCGACCGGATTTCTGAGTAGGCCATTGGGAGTCACCATGTGAAGTTTCAACTCTGAGCGCCCCCCCACCAAAACAGAGTGCAAATCGACAATCGGTCAACCCTTAACAATGTTTTTCCTAAATGCAGATTAATTTAAGGTCACGCTATGCGCGGGAAGAAACAAGTCAGTGCGTGCAGTGGAAGAAAACATTTGACCTCAAATTCTGGAATGGGTGCAGGGCCATTGAAATTCGGCTTTTTTATCCCTGCTACCAGGTCTGACTTTGAGCCATAAATGACATATTCGACTTTGTCAATACTTTTGCTTTAATCGTCGCATCTTACCAAAATAAGCACTTCCTTTATTCGCGACTTTACTGAAAAAAAACGCATACGTGCTGAGTGAAAATGGTTCCTCCTTCAGCAGTCCATTTTCCAATTCTTCTTTAAACATTTTCCCATAGCCCAGGGTGAATTCCAGACCTGACGAGGAGTTTTTGCGCTAAAACAGCAGGGCTTCCTCCCACTCCATTTCAAAGCTAATGCCGGCAAACGGTTAGCGGCTTAACGAACAAACTCTTCATTGCAGCTCCTTGCATTCTCATCGCCGGCATCACGTGCGTTAGAGCCAAGCTGCATATGCAGCAGGCAGCTTCACCCCGTTTACGGCCAAGCCTTGCCCTTGCCAAATCATGTGCACGTGCGTGAATGCACGCTAGCATCTTCCATTTTGCGTGAGCTCATTCATTGGTCAGGGCCATTGTCCAAACTACACCAATCAATGATAAGTCACGCTCCCTTTAAATATCTTCAGCGCGGCTGCATCCGCACTCACGTCTTGATTTGATCGCCATTAACGCATCTGTCCTTGGATTAATTGACAGCTTCCTGCTACCGCAAGTTACCTATTTGCTTAAACGTTTGCATTACCCATTTTATCTCCGCGTGCTGCCTCTACTGCGCAGCACAGTCCATCTTAGCGTTCCATAACTATTTCTACATTTTCGTAGTTCAGTTTTGCTATTAGACAGTTAACTGCTGTCGCAAGTTACTTATTTACTCAATCCTTTTCCCAACCTATTTTACCTCCACGTTGCAGTTTTCACTGTAAGTTGAAGTGCACTGCCTTTACTCCGCGGCCCAGTACACCTCAGTACTTCACTGCCTATTTGCTTAAACGTTTGCATTACCCATTTTATCTCCGCGTGCTGCCTTTACTGCGCAGCTCAGTCCATCTTAGCGTTCCATACCGATTTCTACCGTTTCGTAATTCAGCGGTGATCAGTACAACAGACGTGACATTGTTATCGAATCGCGCGGCACTGGGCTCCGAAGAATCAGTGAAACGCACCGGTCCTACGATGTACTGCCACTTCTCTTCCCTTACGGAGAAGATGGGTACCACTTTGCAAAATGGATCCACCTTAAAAACAGTGTCTTGCAGGGCTTTCTACGCCTACCTATTGATGATATATGAGGGTGCATTCAATCATCTTCATCGAAGCCGGCAACTTTTCCATCAATTCATAGTAGACATGCTAATATGGAATCCGAAAGACTCTGTTACATCAGATTGAATCAGACCAAGTTGCACTGCGACTCTTACATTCACCTCCGTGATGCTTTACGAAATGACGCTGATCCACGCAATATAGGTAAGATGTGCATACTACCTGCAACGTTCACAGGCAGTCCACGATACATGCACGCGAGGACGCAAGACGCGATGACATACGTTCGTAAGTACGGCCGACCAGACCTATTCATAACTTTCACGTGTAACACAAAATGGTACGCAATTGCTAAAGAACTTATGCCAGGACAATCGGCTTACGACCGTCCAGACCTCATTGCTCGCGTTTACCATCTGAAGTTGGGAAAGTTAATGGATGTGATTACAAAGGGCCAGGTTTTGGGGGCTGTTTGCTGTCGTATGCACACTATTGAGTGTCAGAAACGTGGCCTGCCTCACGCACATATACTAATTTGGCTGTGCGACAAGATTGAGGCCACAGAAATCGATCATCTTATTTCTGCTGAAATTCTTGATCCGTCGGCTGAGCGTGAATTGTACGAAATAGTGACAACCAACAAGATTCATGGTCCCTGCGGGTCGCATTACAATTACACCAGCTGTCACAACAACGAAGGCAAATGCACCCGGCAGTACCCACGAGATTTCGTGAGCGAAACCATTACAGGGAGCGATGGTTATCCACTGTACCGGCGAAGGAGTCCCGCTGAGGGAGGATTTACAGCCGTGGTAAAGGGCCACCAAGTGGATAACAGATGGGTAGTGCCATACTGTCCCTTACTAGCAAAAGCGTTCAATGCGCGCATCAATGTCGAATATTGCCATTCAGTTCGCTCTATCAAGTATGGATGCAAGTACATCAACAAAGGGACTGATGCTGCAATGTTTGGTATTAGGCAGGAAGGTTCCGTAGACGAAATCCAGGACTTCCTTGCAGGGCGCGTCATTAATAGCACAGAGGGCCCTTGGCACATATTCAGCTTTCCCATCCATCTTTGTCGACAGGACGAGTTTTCTAAGACTCTACTGTACACAGACGTGCCTTCATGCTACGTGCGGACAAAAAAGAACACCTGGGCTCGGCGGAAGTGCGGGGCCAACGTCGAGGGCTATCCAGGCGTCAAAAAAGACGCCACACTCGGAAGGGTATTCACTGTTCCCCCATCGTGACAGGAATGTTTTTACTTGCGACTCATTTTGCACGAAGTTAGTGGTCCAACGAGCTACAATAACTTACGGACAGTTAATGGAGTTTTATGTGACACTTTTCGTAAGGCCTGTCTCCGTCTCGGCCTTTTGGAAGACGACAGCCAGTGGGATGCCACAATGGCCGAGGGAGCTCTTTTAAAAATGCCCTCTGCTTTGCGCCACCTCTTCACCACAATCTTACAAATGTGCGGACCCAGTGATCCCAAATATCTTTTGGACAATTACAAGGACTTTTTGTCCGAAGACATACTCAGAGAAGCGCAACTGCTGTGTCCAACAATGGCTCTTACATTCAACGATGAAATTTACAACAGGGGGCTTATAATCATTGAGAACCTATTTGCTGAAAGTGGGGTGAATCTCTCGCCGCTATTGGGCTTCCAACGCCAGATCGTGTGGCTTCCTCCAGTCTCTCACCGGAGATTGTGCGGGAGACATCCTACTCTGTTGAGGAGCTCAACGCCTATGTAACAACAAATGAGCCAAAGCTTCTCATAGACCAAAGGGCCGTTTACGATGCAGTTCTTGCATCCATCAGGCAGGATACAGGATCAATTTTCTTCCTGGACGCGCCTGGGGGAACGGGAAAAACGTTCGTAACAAAACTGCTTCTTGCAGAAATTCGGCGCCATGGGGAAGTGGCACTAGCTGTAGCGTCTTCAGGCATTGCTGCCATATTACTACCGGGTGGCCGAACAGTGCACTCAACGTTTAAACTTCCGCTTGACCTGATTAAGACAGAAACAGCTGTATGCAGTATAGCCAAGCAATCAGGTCTAGCGGAGGTACTCAGGCGATGTAAGCTCATCGTCTGGGATGAGCGCACTGTCAGTCCCAAAACTGCACTCGAGGCTGTAAACCGCTCTCTGAAGGATATTCGAAACTCCGATGACCTTATGGGAGGTATAACTGACTTCTATCCGGTGACTTTCGCCAGACACTCCCCGTTGTACCTAAGGGGACAAAGGCCGACGCTATTCGAGCGTGTTTGAAATCGTCACAACTTTGGCCTACTGTTAGACCATTGCACCTTACCACCAACATGCGTGCACACCTAACTGGCGATGTTGGGTCCGCCGAATTTTTGAATTCATTATTAGCCCTTGGCGAAGGTATTATTCCAGCGGACACTAATGGATTTGTAAACGTCCAAGGGTTGTCTACAGTGGTCACAACGCCAGCAACACTCAGGTAATCAGTTTTTCCTGATCTTCAAACTAACTACAATAATATTGAGTGGCTTGCTAGGCGGGCCATTCTTGCCCCCAAAAACACCACTGTGACAAACCTTAATAGACAGCTTCTGGAAACTGTGCCAGGGGTGTTGCACGCTTACAAATCCGCTGACAGAACTCCAGACCCCGCTGAAATGGCGAACTTTCCAGTGGAGTTCTTAAACAGCCTCCACCCCGCTGGTCTCCCTCCTCACATTCTGGAACTTAAAGTGGAGATCCCGGTTATATTGCTTAGAAACCTGCGTCCACCGAAACTATGTAATGGCATCAGGATGGTTATTCAGGCCCTCCACCCAAACATTATTGAGGCCAAAATTATAACTGGCTGCGGTAAAGGGGAGCAAGTGCTTATTCCAAGGATGCATTTTTATCCATCAGATGCCGACGTACCCTTCACTTTCAGAAGATCTCAATTCCCAGTCGCAACCTGTTTTGCTATCACAATTAATAAGGCCCAAAGACAAACGCTGTCTGTCACTGGTGTACACTTAGAGGAGCAGTGCTTCTCACACGGCCAACTTTACGTTGCCTTCTCTCGAGTCGGCAGGCGCGAGGATGTATTCCTTTATTCACCCTCGCAAAAAGCTAAAAATGTGGTCTACACTGAAGTCCTCAGCCAGTGATACGCAAACTCCATTCCTTTTTTCCTATTTTTTGTATCGTTTCCAAAGTACCGGGTTAACAAAACAAGGGCAACAACAACCCCGCCCAAGTAGTATGATCAGTCTCAATATTTCAGGAAACTGGGTTGTGTGTAAAAAAGTATTTGTTGTTAACATTCTTTTTTCATTCGGTTTTTCCAGTTACGAGTTCTTTTTTAAAGCTGATCGTTTTGTGTTCATTTTGTTTAGTTCTTTTTTCGTAACAGATTTAATGTTTAGTATAGTGTTTACAAAAAATTCGCAGTATGAGATAGGCAAGAAGTAAGGCATGTAGCAACATCAGCACGTCAAAGGGCACTCCTTTAAAGGCAAGGAAGGGCAAAAATATTTTAAATCAAGTGATAGCGATTGCTGTATGAGTTGTACGATTTTTGAATCAAGCACGGGCAACGCCGGGCCATGCTGCTAGTCAGCTATATTTCCATTTGATTTCAAAATGTTCAATTTTCTGATATCAAAATTTATTTTTCCATTAGAATTCAAAATTTTCAAATGAAAATATCAATATCTAGTCTATTCATTTCTCTGATTTCAAAATATGATATATTTCCATTTGAATTCAAATTTTTTATGGGAAAAATCTGCCCTATGATTAGCTTTCAATATTTTTTAATGAAAATTAATAAAATAAGCTATATCTTGATTTGATTTTATCTTTTACAATTGTCTCATATCAAAATGATCTATATTTCATTTGAATTCAAAATTTTCAATTGGCATATATGAAAATCATCTCCATTTCTGTTTGCTTTTAATGTGTTCAATTTAAAATCATTAAAATCAGGAATATTTCCATTTGATTTCATCATTTTCAATTGTCTTATATCAAAATCCGGTAAATTTCCATTTGAATTCCAAATTTTAAATTGGAAAATATAAAAATCAGCTATATTTCTTTTTGATTTCAATATTTTCAATTGAAAAATCTTCAAAACAACTATACTTTTGATTGATTTCATTATTTTCTATTTTCTGATGACAAAATCTACAATATTTCCATTTCATTTCAAAATTTTTGATTGGAACATATCAAAACCAGTTCTGTTTCTTTCTGATTTCAATATCTTCATTTGAAAATTTATAAAATTAGCTACTGAAATTTTGAATTGAAAATTATTAAAATCAGTTATATTTTCATTTGGTTTTATCATTTTCAATTTTCTGATATCAAAATCAGCTATATTTCCATTTATATTCAGAACTTTCAATAGGAAAATATCAAACTCTGCTCTATTTCTTTTTAATGTCTATATTTTTAATTGAAAATTAGTAAAAATCTTGTCATTTCGATATTCAAAATTTGTAAATGGAAAATATCAAAATCAGCACTGTTTCTTTTTTATTTCATTATTTTCAATTAGAAATTAATAAAATCAGTTGTATTTCCATTTGATTTCATCATTTTCAATTGTCTGATATCAAAGACAGATAATTTCCATATGAATTTAAAATTTGCATTTGGAAAATATCAAAATCTACTCTATTTCTTTTTCTTTTTCTTATTTTTAATTGGAAAATAATAAAATCATCTATACTTCCATATTATTTCAGCATTTTCTATTGTCTGATATGAAAATAAGCTAAAATTCTACTTGAATTCAAAATTTGGAATATCAAAGTCAGCATGATTTCTTTTTGATTTCAATATTTGCAATTGAATATTAATTAAATCAGATATATTTCCATTTGATTACATCAATTTACAATGTCTGATATGAAAATCAGCTATATTTTCATATAAAGTTTTTTAATTGAATTTTGAATTGGAAAATACCAAATCAGATCTATTTCTTTTTGATTGCAATATTTTCAATTGAAAATTAATAAAATCCGCTATATATCCATTTTCAGTTGTCTGTTATCAAAATCATCTATATTTCCATTTGTTTTCCAAAATTTCCATTTTGAAAATATCAAAATCATCACTATTTCTGATTGATTTTCAAAGGAAAATTATTAAAATCAACTATATTTCCATTTGATTTTATCAGTTTCTATTGTGAAAATCTGTGATATTTCCATGTATATTCAACATTTTCATTTGAAAAATATCAAAATCTGCTCTATTCCTTTTTGATTTCTATACTTTCCATGTTCAATTAATAAAGTCAGTTATAAATCCATTAGATTTCATCATTTATATTTGTATATCAAAATAAGCTATATGTCCATTTGAATTCAAAATTATCATTTGGAAAATATCAAAATCTGCTCTTTTCTTTTTTATTTGATGATTTTCTATTGGAAATTAATAAAATCAGCTATATTTCCATTTGAGTTCCGAATATTAAATTGGAAAATATCAAAATCATCTCTATTTCTTTGTGATTTCAATATTTTCAATTCAAAATTAATAAAACCATCTATATTTCCATTTGATTTCATCATTTTCAATTATCTGATACCAAAATAAGCCAGATTTCCATTTGATTTAAAAATTTTCAATTGGAAAATATCAGGATCACTTGTACTTCTTTTTGATTTAAATATTTTCAATTGAAAATTAATAAAATCAGCCATATTTCCGTTTGATTTCATCTTTTTCAATAATCTTATATCAAAATCAGCTGTATTTCCATTTGATTTCAAAATTTTCAATTGGATAATATCAAAATCAGCACTATTTCTGTTGAAATTTTATAATATCATCTATATTTCTATTTCATTTCATCAGATTCATTTGCTGATATCAAAATCATCTATATTTTCATTTGAATTCAAAATTTTCAATTATTAAATCAAAATAAATTCTCTTTCTTTTTGATTTCAATATTTTCCAAGAAAATTTAATAAAATCAATCATATTTCCAACTGATTTTCATAATTTTCAATTGCCTGATATCAAAATCAGCTATATTTCCATTTGACTTCACAATTTTCATTTGAAAAATATCAAAATCATATACATTTGTTTTCGATTTCCACATTTTCAATTGATATCTAATAAAACCAGCTATATTTATTGTTTCAAATCAAAATCAGCTATCTTTCCATATTAATTCAAAATTTTCATTTGGAAAATATCTAAAAAAGCTTTATTTCAGTTTGCTCTCAGTATTTACAATTTAAAATTAATAAAATACATTTGATTTCATCTTTTACAATTGTCTGACATCAATTAATTTCCAATTGATTTCAAAATTTTCAATTTCAAAATCTCAAAATCATTTTGATTTCATTATTTTCAATGGAAAATTTATAAAACCTACTGCATTTTCATTTTATTTCATCATTTTCATTTTTGTATCATCTATGTTAAAGTCCAAATTTTCAATTGGAAAGTATCAAAATCAGCTCCATTTCTGTCCCCTTTCAATATTTTCACTTGAAAATTAATAAAATCAGCTATATTTCCATTTTATTTCATCATTTCCCATTGTCTGGTATCGTAATCAGATATATTTTCATTTGATTTCAAAATTTTCAAGTGGAAAATGACACAGTCATCTCCATTTGTTTTTGATTTCAATATTTTCAATTAAAAATTAATAAAATCTGTCATATTTTCATTTGATGTCATCATTTTCCATTGTCTGATATCAAAATCAGCAATATTTACATTTGATTTCATATCTAAAACTTTCGCCCTGGCCCTTCAACCTCCGGCGTCTTACTCTCAGGGTTGAGGTGTCTACTCGGTCCTAACCAAACTTAAGGGAGTGGTCATAGATCCCCTGAGCATCCATAGATTATTCGACCGGTCCACTGGTTTAATACTGCTTCCTGCCCACATTGTGATTTGTTTGATCCAGAAAGCAGAAGTGATGTCTGTCCATTTATAGTCGACTGAAGATGTATACACAGCTATATCAGCTGTATTCCAATTTGATTTCAAAATTTTTAATTGAAAAATATGAAAATATTTCCATATATTTCATTATTTTAAATAGAAAAATATCAAAATCAGTGATATTTTTATTTGATTTCAATGTTTTCAGTTGAAAAATATCAAAATCAGTTATATTCTCATTTGAGTTCAACATTATCATTAGAAAATTATCCAAGTCAGCTATATTTCCATCCATTTCATGTAGATACAATTGAAAAATATCAAATTCATATATATTTCCATTTGATTTAAAAATTTTCTATCAAAAAATTTCAAAATCATCTATATTTCCAATTGATTTCAACATTTTCAATAGAAAAACATCAAAATCTGCTATATTTTTATTTGATTTCATATATTTTCAATTGAAAAATATAAAAATTTGACATATTTCCATTCCATTTCAACATTTTCGATTGAAAAATATCAAAATCAGTGTATATCCATTTGATTTAAATATTTTCAACAGAAAAATAATGAAATCAGCTATATTTCCATTAGATTTCAACATTTTCAATTTTCTCCTATCCTATCTTTTCGTTCAGGCACATATACACCATCAATCCCTTTCACTCATATCCAGTAGGTGTAGATCGCATTGGCAGGTGCACTTGTAGTAGACACATCATCCTTTGTTTCCATGTTATATCTATACACAGTTCCTATGAGTGTACACTGCTTTCTGGCAGCAATCCTCTTTACACTTCAGTGGCACCTTTCTGCTATGCCATTGCCACATTGGTACATGCGAGCATCACGATCAAAGCTGGATTCCCCAGTCATCCAGGAAGCGCTCAAACTGTCTACTGCAGAAAGCAGTATCATTGTCAGAAAGGATATCCTCCGGGGTTCCTCAAAACACTGACTCTAATGGCGGATGACACTTGAAGAGTCCTGCCGCAGCAATGGTCACCAGACTGCGAATCTAGTGAGTTCGCAATCTATAAGCATGAGGAAATTCTGGTCGCCACAATGTGTTATATTCATTCTCAGCCTACTTCAAGTTCAGCTTACCTCCAGCTTCGCTTTTTGCCATTTGACTGGTGCAGGGTCTATTGATTGGCACGTTTGGCACCCCTTGACTACAACCCTGACGGCACTTGTG